CCAACGTGCACTAGCCGCAATAACTTCCTCCTCTAACTCCACCTACAGATTTTTCCTTCGAAGCAAAATCAACACTATTTCTATTGGCAAGCTAGTCCTCTTCACAAAATTACCCAGAATGACAGGGAGCACACCTGGTCGGCCAACTGCGAGAGTGACTTTAACCACCTACGAGAAGCTCTATATGTACATATGTATCCATATTTCATGGGACAAGACGGAGATCGTCTGCGTCTGACGACAATCACAAGAATCAGCGCTGAAAATGTACGCAATTAAATATCTCGTACCATAGAACCTATCTTATCTACACTTACATTACTCAGGAGGCCTATCCCCCAACATCCCCTCTCAGGAGGCAGTTGTTGAGACCATTGCACGCTGGGCGGGAGCTGGTGGTGAGAAGCTGAAAGTACACGCCCCGGAGATGTTGAAGGAGGTCCAGTGGCACCTGACGATCGTTCAATGCGCCGATCACCTAATGGAGAATTATCCGGCATTCAAGACAAGCCCCGAATTCCCTTGTCTTAGGTTTCACATTGCAAATTGGATTGCTGCCGCAGACAAAGACAGGATGCCCTGCCCCTTCAACTTAAGGCCATGCCAGAACTCTTTCTCTTTGCAAAGGACAAAGACCGAAAGAGGTGGTCTGTCCTTCGCGTCGATTCCCATCTTCACCAGGCACTCATTGTGGGATGCTTCGGTAGACAACATATACCCATTATGAAAAATGGCTTTGGAACTGCGGGGCATCTGCAAACACCGTGGCACTCCCTCATCGTCGTCCAACAGCATGGCACCTGTGGACAACTCAGTCCAGGCGTCTTTCATTAATGCGTCTAGACACCGGTGCGGCTACGTTCGCTGGTCCTTTTATGCAACTGCGGACGTTTTGCAAAAAAGACTCAAAACTAAATGCCGAAATGTTATCTAGCACTCCAAACCGTGCAACATCTTCGTGTAGGTGGACCAGGCAATGAACACTGTACACAACATCAGCTGGATGATACAACCTACCAAAGTCTGCACCAAAAGTAGTCAAAATAATGCGTGCACAGTCAATAAATGTCTAGTGTAAACGGAAATGGCAAAATATGTACACGGCGATAAACAACTTTACAAAACGTTAATAGCGATTCTGGTCAAAGAAAAAATTCTAAGACTGCCGGGCCGGTGTAAAGAAGCAAGTGCCGGTATTCAGCCGCTTTGCAATACTCGAGGCAATTTAGTCTTCTGCACTTGCACGCAAATTCCGCAGGCAAACATTCGCTGCACTTTCAAATCAACGCATTGAGTGCCGCAGAAAACTTCATCACTCCGAGCCGCCACATGTGTAGCAACTTGCGTATCACACACAGGCATATGTCACAAATCGCCACAATCGTGCATCTACACATGCGGAAGGGAAACCGCCATTGAAATCAATGAACGTTGGGACACTGATGACTGGACATTTTAGGATGCTCGATGACTGAGTTGCATGGAACCATTTCTTCATATTCACCCAAGTTGCTTCTGCTCTCACAGGAACCTCTCAACGTAACTCGGTCACTACCCACGAAACCTACAACCCAACAGCCCCTCAGCTTTTGTTTCGTGGGCAGTGATTAGCTAGATACTTTTACCCCACCCACACTCTACCTCTCCTTTTGGGTTGTAGAGTATCATGTCCTCACAAAAAGACAGCCCAAGGAAAGAGACGAAAGGGCTCAGTCAAGATCCCCTACGACGACAAAATATGCGATAGTGATCTGGACCTATCATCAACATCCGTAGGATTGTTAATTACATTATTTCCGTTATCTACAGCAGTCCCAGTCAGAAAATACCGAATCCAACTCCGCCTAACCATTGGTGATGTCCCCCAATTCCAAAGGCAATTACCCTTCATTCGAGCATGCCGTTCGAAGGCCATAAGAACAGTGAGCATGCGCAATCGAAGGACCCAATGTAAAAAACTACATCTTAGTTACCTCAGACAGCCATGGTCTCACCTTTCGGAACCTGACATTTCCCAGCGCACGAGAGCACAATTAACATCCCTAACAGGCCCAAACTTTACCATCATTCCTCGCCTATCTGAGCCGGAGGACAAACCACCATTTCCGGTCCTCGTCCTTTTCAAAGACGAAGAATGTCCGGCGTAGCCGTACGTTGAAGGGACACGGCGGCTAGTCATTGTCTGCAGCACCAATCCAATTCACAATCTAAAACATAAGTCAAGGGCATTCAGACCTTTTCGAAAAATGTTGGATAATTCTCCATTAGGGAGATGCGCTGTTAGATCCTCGTCAGGCGTTACTGCACTCCCTTAAAACCACCGGACCGTGTACTTTCAGCTTCTCATTATCAGCCTCGCCAGTGGCATCCACCCAACGTGCAATAGCTTCCTCCTCTGACCACACTTACAGATTTTTCCTTCGAAGCAAAATCAGCACTATTTCTATTGGCAAGCTAGTCCTCTTCACAAAATTACCCAGAATGACAGGGAGCACACCTGGTCGGCCAACTGCGCGAGTGACGTTAACCACCTACGAACAGCTCTATATGTACATATATATCCATATCCCATGGGACAAGACGCAGAGCGTCTGCGTCTGACGACAATCACAAGGGTCAGCGCTGATTGGTCAGCGGGTTTATCGATTTCTCACAGTCATTGGCTGGCGAGCTTGAGCTATCGGTGCTCCCCGCCGCATGCGCGTCGCCATTATTGCTTGCGTATCGCGTGTTGCGTGTGCTATCAACTGCTCTCTGCTGCAATCTCTTATACCCTGTTTTGATTCATTAACCCATCCTTTTTATTGTTCAAATGTTTAGGCACGAATGTAAACGCACTATTAGGCGGCATGTGAAGAAGAAGATCGCGGAAACATCAAAGGAAATAGATGCAGAAGTGGATCTGCTCTTTGGCGGTAGCAAACGTTATCGAGTGGACAGTTCAGACAGCGAGTCGTCTGTTGGTCACCCAGTAGACGTTGGAAGTGGGTGCCTTAGCCCGCCAGCGTCATTGTTAGGTGATCTGACATCTGCTGACAGTGTTGGTTGGGCGGACACTGTCATCCATAATGATGACGTGCCACTTAGTGAACGCATTAGGACAAGACTGCGTGATTGGGCTTTGCAATGCCGTATACCGCACAGTCATTTACGAAGTTTGTCAGACATATTGCGGATGGCAGTCCCGCAATTGCCCGAAGACCCTCGTACACTGTTGGGGGCATCGTATAACTTGCAAGTAGTCCCCATGGGTTGTGGGGAGTACGTTCATGTTGGGCTGCAGAAGCAACTACGCAGATTAGTTGATAGTGAAATCGTAGTCGCAGATAATGAAGAGATGGTCGTGAATCTAGCTATAGATGGTTTGTCTCTATACCGCAAGACGAGGGCTGAACTGTGGCCCATTCTAGGTCGTATCATGAAGCCATTTGTTAGTAACGTGTTTGCCGTTTACATGTACTGTGGGAACGGCAAGCCGCCAAACGTAGAAGCGTTTTGTAAAGACCTCATAGACGAAATAGTTGTGCTTAAAGAAGAAGGATTACAATTCAGTAATCGCCCAGGCAGGATGCGGGTCCGCATAGCTAGTGTAATTTGCAATGCACCCGCGCGGGCCTTCGTCAAACAGATTAAGAACGTCAACGCATACGACGGCTGCGAACGTTGCACAACCGTCGGAACATACGTAGGAAAAGTTGTCTACCTAGAGGAAGGAGAGAAGGAGAGGAAGGATGATGACTTTACAGGACAGGAAAGTAGTCAACATGTAGTAGGGCTGTCCCCCTTTATCCGTTGTAATTTGGGTTTAGTATCTAATTTTCCTTTAGATCCACTGCATCTTATATATTTAGGCGTGGTGAGGAAGCTGATTCGCCTGTGGGTTAGAAATTACCGGTCTAAGGCAACTGGCCAGACGCAGTTGTGCACACTGCGTTCGTCGCAAGTTGAAATAGTTAATAGCAGATTACGAGGGTTAAACACTTATCTACCTACCGAGTTCTCTCAGAGGTGCCGAAGCCTCACTGACTTAGACTCATGGAAGGGCACCGAATACAGACAGTTTTTGCTGTACACAGGGATAATTGTCCTGAAGGACATTTTACCAGCAGGGCATTATAAGCACTTCCTCATCTTGTTCACGGCCATAAGATTGCTTGCCTCAGCGGACATTTGCATGTCCAACGTAGGCTACGCTAGGCATTTATTAAAGTTGTTTACACGTAAATTCGTTACGTTATATGGGCAGGAACACATGGTCTACAACGTCCACAGCATCATGCATATTGCTGATGATGTTGAACGTCATGGGGCCTTGGATTCCTTCTCATCTTTCGCATTTGAGTTACCTAGGTCGTCTGAAGAAACTATTACGCGGTCCGTCCAGACCGCTACAGCAAATAGCCAGGCGACTTAGTGAATTTGACGCGCAAGGTGTGTGCTCGCGCAGAGGTCAACAGTTTCGGCTTATGCGAAAGCACACCAAAGGCCCGATTCCAGAGGGCTTCGATGTTCAACAACAGTTCACCTGCATACTAGGCACCGGTTTTCGAATTGATACTTCCTCAGCTAATCGGTGCATAACCCTAGGCGACAAAATAGTCTGCGTAAAGAACATACTTGTAGACAGAACAGGACAGATTCTACTAGTATACAGCGAATTCACCAACATTGCTGATTACTTTCTGTATCCTGCAGAGTCATCATCCATACAGGTGTACACAGCCGATATCTCGGAAACAATTGACTGTGCACACTTTCCCATGACCTTCTCTAAGTACGTTTGCTTTCCTCTAGATAACTCATACCTATTAATGAAGATATTAGGCTATGAACAGCCATCCTTTGCCACTACCAATCCCGTCCTCTCCATGGACAATGCTCGTTAACCCTACAACCACACAGTACCTAGTTAGCGGTTAACGAGCATCAAGGGATGTAGTGGTCGTAGTTATAGGTGAAGCTACTAACTACTATTTTTTCCTGTGTGGTTGTAGACATCCATGGCTACGTCTTCCAGTGACGAGGAGACTGCTAGACGAAAGTCAACAAGACGACGACGCAATCCTTTAGACGAGCGATACTGGGAACTTGGCGAGCCGCCGCTGTCACCGGTAGTAACTTACAATATACTTACAACGGTTTCTATTTAGGATGAAAGAGAATCCGACAAAGAATCAGTAGACACCTTACCAGCAAGAAGAGAACGGAAAGACACAGGTAATGCTATATCAAACTAATTTTCGTTGTAGTATGCCATGACCCGTCCTGTCGGGCAATTATTTCTGAAATGCAGGCAGACATAAAAAAAAAAACAGGGCAAGAACATCGCGTTTCTGCGTAAGCAACTTGCCTGGGTCATAAAGGGCATCATGAAAATCCTCAAAATCAGCATACAATGCAGCTTAACGACATTCCTCGACAACCAGCCCCTGGAAGCCCGGAGGCCGCCTTTCCAACCAATTCTTTAAGGCGGCCCATCAGTACAAAGTCCGACTTCCAGGAGGTTAATAGCAGACTGCACGACCCCCAGGTTAAGTCGCAGCTGGTAAGGCTAAGCGAATTTTATGACATTCATAGACGCACTTCCTCGTATGCCTCGGTGGGCGCAACACCGATGATTTCGTTAAGAGGGTATTTTATGCCCTGTTTGATGACGAGGCGTGCATGCACGTGAATTTCCGTGGGAAAAAACCAAGGAGGGCCTGTGCGGGTCACAGGTTTACGAGGTGATAAAGGGTAGGCCCTTGCTTACATGTAACTCTGCATGGAAAACAGACGTTTATGCTGCCTGGAACAAGGTAGGCAGAGTGGATGTATATGAACTTGAGGCCGCCTTCACTAGGCGGCTGAAGAGATCACTCGACGCCCTTCGAAAAAGGCGATCCCGGCCGGATTCCCTTACCGATGACTCTGACGGTAAGTGAAACTGAAGTATTATTACACATACTTGGTTTAGAACTATCAACAGAACCCACGTCGTCCCGGCCGCGAGAGGATTAGCGCCCAGAATAATTGTATTTTTTATTTTTATAATAAATCATTACCTCTATCATGACACAACGCCTTCTTTCAACTTTCGTGGGGGGGGGAGGGGGGTTCCGTAGTTCTTTAAGTACTAAATAGGATGGGAGGTGGGAAAAAGAGCTTTCGTTGGTGCTACAACGGAAAGGTCGCTAAGGAATGCCGTCCCGCAGCTGCATAATGCCGTATCGCGACTTTTCGCCATTGTTTCCATAGCGACCACATGGACAAAATCCGCTATAAATCGGTCATTGTATCGCGACTTTTCCACAGCGAGGCGCCGCCACCTCGCTGTGGAATTGCTACTAGGGGAGGGGGGTTCCGCAGTTCGTTTAGTACTAAATCGGATGGGAGGTGGGAAAAAGAGCTTTCTTGGGTGCTAAAACGGGAAGGTCGCTAAGGAATGCCGTCCCGCAGCTGCATAATGCCGTATCGCGACTGTTCGCCATTGCTTCCATAGCAACCACATGGACAGAATCCGCTATAAAACGGTCATTGTATCGCGACTTTTCCACAGCGAGGCGCCGTAACCTCGCTATGGAATTGCTACCTGGGGCGAATGGGCCGCCTTAGGGGGTTGGTTGGAAAGGCGGCCTCCGAGCTTCCTGGGGCCGGCTGTCGCCGAGTGTCATTAACCCGCATTGCATGCTGGTTCTCAAGGATTCGTAACTTGCTCTTTACGAGCCAAGCAAGTTGTTTACGCATAAGTGCGATGGTCTTGCCCTGATATATCAGCCTGCGTATCAGAAATCATTGCCCGACAGGACGGGTCATGGCATACTTCAACGAAAATTGGTGTCACATAGCATTACCTGTGTCGTTTTGCTGTCTTCGTGCTGGGAGGGTGTCGACAGCTGTCGATTCTAGATTCTCGATATCGGGTATTGCGATACCCGATTTGAACAACCTGGTTATATATACAGACAATTTTTAAATGATATTACAAGATTACGCATTAAAACTAACAACATATCATAAAAGACAGTGACGGGGCATTTTATTACGTCCCACAGTAAAGCCTCAATGTAGACCACAGTAGGCAGTAAACGCACTCACGCCAAGCAGAAGGCAGCTCACGTGGAAGAAAAGTGCCGCACAGTGACACAGTTAAACATTTGTGCACATTATTCAGGATCGTCCAGGCATGTCGAAGCGCCAATTTCACCAGTTCAAAAGTACTTTTTCCCGTTAATAAAGCTTACTTTAAATGAAAACAGCATGTATGTTTACGGAGTAGTGCCTGTGCACTATGCATTAACTACGAGAATACTTTGAGAGGGCTAGCCCCTTTCTAACTCCTTCTTTGCTGCCTATCAAGAGGGGACCAGGTGCTGGCAGGTTAGATATCTAATAGATACCTACTTGACATAGTTTGTTACCAGGGATATTACCAGTTTCCTTGTGCCAGACATTATTTTTGTGGCATTCTTCGCAATTCCACTATTCATTATTAATAAACAACTCGAAAACTACCTTTTAGTCTTCATGGTATATGTAAGACCCAAATACGTGGGCCACGTCATGGGTTCAAAGCCCTCAGCATAGACCAATACACGGGAAAACAAGTTGCATATCTGCATGAAGCGGCGAAGTAATGCATGGGTATTATATTAGATAGAGGAGGAGCGTACATTTAGAATTTATTTGGTATGTATTGTGCCACTACCCTTTCTTTTGTCTACTTCGTTCTATCTCGACATGTTGATATCAAGGGTATATCGACAGAAACCCAGGTCGATACCCAGACAATATTACTATCTGGACATGATACTACGGAACCCTAGTAGCCGCCTTTGTAAATACCTAGATAAAGCACTAAAAGCTCCGTTTCTTACCATTTTGTCAAGTAAAATCTTAGAACTTTTCTTAGTCTTCCTCTGAACCCATAAATGGCATTATAAATGGTGGGGATGGAAGGTCGGATCTGGAGGGTGGGAATAGTTACCTAGGAAAGATGGCAGCTTCTGACGAGGAAAGGGTCTTCTGCACTATAAGCAATAAATATCGAGATCATACACGTGAATATTGAGTTATCGAGATATGTACACCTTCCACACAACTCTCCACGCCACTAAAGGAATGGAATAATACAGGTTTGTCACGGCACCTCTTGGCAGTGTCAGTCCTCTAAGAACACAGGCTGGACTTTGACTGCGTTTGTTTTGGCTGTCTGCACAGTCAATAGGGTGCCAGTTGGGAATGTGTTACCATTATTTAAAAACCCTAATTCCAAGGTTTAATAACAGTAAAAGTGGAAAAAAGAGCGTGTTGCGCAGAACGGGTAGTTAGATTTCCAGTTTGGCGCTTTTAGTTGAGCTTAGAAAACATCGAATTCGGCCCGAAGTCGAAATAACTGCCAGTTGATGATTTCGGATTATTGCCAGTTGTCGGTTGTAATAGGCCAAGCGATTGAAGGTAGTGTTTAAGTGAAGTGAAGCACCTCAAATAGGCGTGCAACCGGTATGGGGATGGTGTGCTGGAGTGTCTGTGAAGATGCCGGTACCCTTACTATTCGCAACTGTCGACTTTGCCACGCCGATACCGCCGTAGCAGAACATCTCGATTTCTCTCCCCCAGAGTCTGCATTCCCATGTCCGTTCGCTGCAGTAGTTCCTACTTCTGCATTTCCACCGGCAAACTAACAGACAAGACAGATCACCCACAATTCTCCATGTGTCTATTGCCCAAGTAGCGTCCACTATCATTCTAAATAGCACCCTGAATATAAATTTACATGATTAGTGTAGTGAGCAAAATATGCACACGCATCTGTCACCCTATCTTACGAACTTTGCATGCGTGTTTTCAGTATGGTGCTAGTCAATTCCATTTAGTATTCCCACGAACTGGGGGAAGACAATAAATGCTTAGTTATCCGTGTGTGTGAGAGAGAGTGTGTGTGCGAGTGTGGGGGTTCAGATCAGTTCAGTTCAGTTTATTGAGGGAAATAGGCGTAAGCCTTTGAGTACCCTATTTGCAACGTAAAAAATGTATGGTATACAGATAAATGTTCTGGGCTGAAATAGTTAAAACAGGCCCATAATTGTAGGACAAAATGAGAACGGGTTACAAGGGGGTGAGCTCTACTTCTCATCCCTCATGGTCATTTTGGAACATAAATATGTCAAGATTCTTTTTAAAACTTTCTATGGATGGTGACATCACAACATCTGCGGAAAGCTCATTCCAAGGTTTGACCACTCGAACAGAGAAGGAGAACTTCTGTACATCCAACCTTGCATGCTAAGTGCGCAGTTTTAACGGGTGACCTCGGAGGTTCGTCGTGGTAGTAAATGCAAAAACGTCTTCGAAGGCTAGGCTGCAATCCAACCCCTTAACAATGCGGAAGGCTTGCAAGAGATCCCCGCGAAGTTGCCTGTAACTCAAAGGAAAGAGGTTCAGATTTACTAGGCGAGTTTAATAAGGAAAGGAGCTTTGACTCTTAACCATCTTAGTGGCCCTCCTCTGGACCCTTTCGAGGCAGTTTTGATCCTCAACAGCCCACGGCCTCCAAGCTTGTATGCCGTACTCTAAATGCGGCCGGATAAATTTTCCGAATGTCTTAGGGAAAGCTTCTTCGTCAAAGTCGATAAACGCACCTTTGATGGCGTACAGTACGGACATTGCGGTTTTTGCCACTCTCGAACAGTGGGCGGATGGCTTTAGGGAACTCATCATCAGCATGCCGAGGTCTTTTTGGGCTTCGGCCTCTTGTAGGGCTGCACCGCCCAGAAAGTAGTTTCTTGTGCTTGCGGATCAGGCTGTGTTGCCTAGGCGAAGTACGCTACATTTGGCAAAGTTGAACCGCAGGAGCCAACGGTTTGACCACTCCTCCAACCAATTCAGGTTCATCTGCAGTCTGTCTTCGTCGGCAGGACCCCGAATTACAATCAATATCTTCATGTCGTCAGCAAACATTGTTACTTCGCAGTCTAAAATTCTTGCAGCATCGTCCACGTAGATAAGGAACAAGATGGGTCCCAGTACTGAACCCTGGGGGACACCATTCTCGACCATAGCAGGGCCTGATTTTCACCGACCGATGCAGACAACCTGGTGTCGACCCACAAGAAGTTTTCAATCCACTTAAAAAAAGTTATAAATAAATTAAATAAATAAATAAATTTTCTATTTAATGCCAGTTTACAGGCATTGTCAAGGGAAGCGATTAAACATAACTCCGATCAGCAGTGAAAAAAACTCCTGAGCTAAAGGGATAAAAATATAGTCGATGGTGGTTTTTATGGTTTGGAGGGCTCAGGAGAAAAAACTGCCGGCGGTGGTAGAATATCGACCGTCAAGAAGAGGGGAGGTTGCACGGTATCGGAGATTATCGGACGTCAAATTCCTTTCATGAAGTTGGGGATAGCCA